GGAGGAAGAAGATGAAAAAGAACTAAAGTAAGAGATAAATTATCGTAATTCGTCGATCATGCTAAGTGAATAACGAGAAAATTGCGTCAACTTAACCTTTAATTAATTCATTCATTATCCTAACGTACTTTAATCGCTAAAACTTTAATCGCGTGACTGAAGGCTTTGAGAACAGAACCTAAATTGCTGTTAACAACGCAAATAATATTTCACGTTTTATTCGATATTTAAAATTTCCCATTTTAATTAATTTAAATAATTGATATTATATCGTATCGAACGATTGTGATTTGAAAGTTAGAGAAAATTTCACTTTGATCTCTAATTCTAAATTTCTATCATTGTATTCAATACGCGTATTCGATAATTGAACGATTATTAATAAAATTATATAGAATATATCTCTGTTAACAAATTGACGTGAATAGAAAATTAATATCATAATACAATTCATTTAATTAGATATAGAAAAAAAATTAACAAGAATTATTCTACCCAACGTTATTGTTATCCATTAACAAAACGTATTTGAATGAAATTAATTATCAATTACAATAAAATGTTTATCGTTTTATCTGTCTACCATACCAAATACATTATATATATTTGTTACATAATTTAACACCAGTTAGGGAACTTAATCATACTTATCGCAACGTATAAGCCGTTCGTAATCTCTAAATCTTATTATTGGTAATTTATTGATAGAATTAGAGAGAAAGAGAGATACGATGAAAAAGAGAGAGTAAGGATGAAGAAAACGTAACGTCACTGAAATTCACCCTTCGAGGATGTCGTTTCGTCGACGATGCGATCGTGGGATGCACCTAAGATAGAAAGCAAGGAAAGAAATATGAAAAAAAAGAAAAGGATGGAATGAAGATGAAGAAGAAGATGAAGAAGAAGAAGAAGAAGATGATGAAGAAGGGATGGATCTCAACGGAGCCCCGTTTTCTTCTTCTTCTTCTTCTTCTTTCGTTGGTTCGTTCCTTCGTTCATCAGTTTTTTCTCATCTGCAAAACGCGAGCGACCTAATTTTCACGCCACTAAGCGTCACGACGAAACCATGGTCAGCCACTGTCCATGTATATACTCTGTATTCCACCTACTCTTCCTTGTTACTATATACATCTAAGGTATATATATACATAGAACATTTACGAACAACTCTATACGACATATACATCCTGTCTAGATTCGGTAGCCTAACGTACGTAGGTAGATACAGGTATATATAATACATACATGAATATATATAAACTCTATTGTCTGCATATGTAGACGAAACATGTACTACGTAGATAGTCTCTGGAAGGACTCACACATGCCTTTCTCACGCCTGTTTCTCTCTCCTAAAAGATACTCGCCAGCAACGAGTACAGCACACACGTTGCCTCCAATATCCGTAGCGAGAAGGTATTAGGGTTGGTGCAACCTCGAAAATTTCAGGCTGACCAAACGGCCTCTGCTCAACCACTACTACTACTACACTATTACTACTATACTACTACTACAACTTGTTTTCAACGTAAATAAGTGTATAATTTTACTCGCGTGTGTGTCTATCTTTTTTGAAGTTTCTGAAGTTTCGGAAAAAACCACACTACTTTTCGGAAAAAAACCTCACTACTTTTCGGAAAAGACCTCACTACTTTTCGGAAAAGACCTCACTACTTTTCGGAAAANACCTCACTACTTTTCGGAAAAAACCTCACTACTTTTCGGAAAAAACCTCACTAGAGAGGTGTTTACTACACTATCAGAGGTGTTTATTTACCATGAACTTTTTAGTTACCAGAAGCAACTAGTCTCATTTCTTTGAATTGAGAACTTGCTTACTGTGTAATATGTCATCTATTTATATATGTTATCAATAAAACGTATAATAATTTTTGAATGTGATAACAACAATATAATAATAATATTATAACATAAAACCTACAATTATCCTACTCCTGATATTCTGCAGTCGTCTCATTCTCTCTAAACTGAGTTTTTCGAAGGTTTCACTTCTAGCACGTGTGATCTGCGCACATGATATTTTTTTTACTTTTTTCCTATTATTTTTTTCTAATTTTTGTTTTTTTTATCGTTCCTTTTATTTTTTCTTATTCTTTTCTTTTTTTAATTAAAATATCAAATAAGCTTTTTAAAATTCATTAGGATGCTGCGAGTGTTGGTAAATCTCGAAAAAGATAGAAGGGAAGATAACATAAGACAATTTTTATGGCCTTTTAATTGGGAAAGACGAGTTGATTTCATGGAAAACTTTAATTACTGTAGTAATAAAGGTGTAATTAGCTACTTTGTTTTTGTTCCTTTTTCCCACCTCCTAATCTCGTTATAAAAGATGTTCGTTATTTTGTCTAGATTTTTTATTTATTTATTTATTTTTTTTTTATATCATCCGTTTCAACGAAATGTCTCACTCGTGCTTCTAAAGAAAAATTTCGATATATTTTTTGAAGTAGGGGTAAAAAAAAAAAAAGAAAAAAGGAGAATACATTTTTCGTATTTCGATGAGTTCGATTTTGTATAATAAATCTCACGACGCGTTGTGAAGTTGGCCCTTTCGTTTATTAGAAAATATCACGAGTGAGTTGATATCCTATGCAATGACGTTTCTTGAGTCGTTTGGAGGTAAAGTTTATAAGAAAAATTTCAAATTTTTATCGCGTCACGTAGAGAGTGTTTTTCTTTCTCTCTCTCTCTCTCTCTCTCTCTCTTTCTTTCTTTCTTTCACTCTTACACATAGAAAAACGTCAGCTTTCTTGACGTGGTCCTCGATCGAGTTCGCTGCGGGAAATACATAAAATATTTATGCGAACGCGTAGCCATTGTGCTTTGTAGAAATTTGAAATTTTACTGCCTGCTTCTAGTACCGATCGAACATTGCTGTATCTACTATCTTTCTTTATCTCTCTTTTTTCTATCTCTCTCTCTCTTTTTCCAGATGCACCAGCCTGTATTCGTCGTTCGAGAGCGAATGACGCCAAGGGGCGATTTTGTAGCAAGCTTTCCACTTTGTTTCTATCGAACGAGTCGAACTACGATCATCCTCCTCCTTTTCCTCCTACTCGTGTGTTATATTCTCTGCCTATACTATAATCTAAGTCTTTTAAAAATTTTCCTATTCGCATGGCAAAAAAAAATTCGTAATCTATGGTATAATATTATTTCATGCCAATCTTTTCGGTTATATCGAATATTAAATATTTAATAAAAAAAATCTATAAATTTGAATAATATTAATTTATAAATATATATTTGATACAACCATTTTTATCGTTAAAATAAATATATTAATATAAAAGTATTTTCCTATTTGCGTTGCAAACAAAAAAAATTGTAATCTATGGTGTAATATTATTTCATGTCAATCTTCTCGGTTATATCGAATATTAAAAATTTAATAAAATAAATCTATAAATTGGAGTCATATTAATTTATAAATGTATGTTTAAATATTGCATCTTTATAGTTAAAATAAATGTGTCAATATAAAAAATGAAAAACTAGAATAATTCGTATAGAATAATTAAACGTAACGAGATGTTTCAGAAACTAGGATATAAACGATAACTACTCGTGTCGATCGAGATTACTTCTTCTCGAATGGGTTGATACTAAAAAGTCATTTTCGAACGTGTCTCATCCATGTAATTGCAACCAGTCCGTATAAATCTTTCCTCAAAATCATACGTGTACTCTCAAGTAGAACCTCGTAACATACATCCCTTCGAGTTTTGATCGGACAGTGTAAACGTACTTCGAATCTCTCATAAGTACGATTTAAGCGTTTAATCGAAAACGATCGATATCTCGTAGCACCATTTCTCTCAATCCTATTTTATCTTTCCCTCTCTCTCTCTCTCTCTCCCTCACTCCTTTTCTTTATGGGGACCAACCAAATCCAATAGCAAGTTGCCGAATGGAGGCCAATCGAGTTCTCACGAAAATTAATTCCCGATGTCGCACTTACACTCACCAGTCTTCAAACCTTCATCAACAAGACGTACGATAAGAGAATGAATGAGAGAAAGAGAGACAGAGAGAGAGAGAGAGAGAGAGAGAGAGAGAGAGAGAGAGTAATGTATGTCATTCTATGATTATTAACGTTCTTACAATCATAGTGTAACATAGAATGGTCGTGATTCCAAATGAAAATGAATCTTGTTTTAAAACGATAATTAGACTGATATAAAAAAAAAAAAAGGAAAAAACAATTTTTTAATCATTGCAATTAATATATTTATCGAATATAATCATTTATTTGCAAAAACATATTATATCGTATATAATTTTAAATAAAAATATTTATAATTGTAATAATATCATTTGATTCGTTCATTATTAAGCAAAAATTTCTCTTCATTTTCCAAAAAAAAAATCACAATACTACTAAAGCAAGGTATATCATCGATTCTAAAAAAAAGAGAGAAAGAGAGAAAGAGAAAGAGAAAGAGAAAGAGAGAGGTAGGGAGAAACGAAGCTTGCTCTTATATTATCTCGCTTTTTCTTTCGCATATGATGAAAAAGGAAAAAAGAAAAACAAAAAAAAGGACAAAAAAAACACGATGATATACATACACATGCGTGAAAGAAAAAGTGAGATGGAGAAGGCGTTGAAAACAGAGAGAAAGAGAAAGAGTGAGAAAGAGTGAGAAAGGGGGATGAAAATGCAGGAGGTTGAAAGAAAGAAAGAAAGGAAAGAGAAAAGAACGAGAGAGAGAGAGAGAGAGAGAGAGAGAAAACACCCGGAAAGGTGAGAGGAGAGAAGATAGAAGAAGGGATGGAAAAGGGTGGTGGTGGTGATGGTGGTGGTGGAAACTGCGTCGGAGTGGGAAAGCATTGCCGAACGGAGTGATAGGGTGGGAGGAATGAGACGAAAGGGTGAGGATAACTAAAGAGAGATAGAGTGAGGGCAAGAGAGGGAGGAAGAGAGAGAGAGAGACGACGAGGGTTGGTTCGCCAAGCTCAGTTACGCCGCGCCCCTTGCGAAGAGCGCTGCGCCTCGTGAGCGAGATTTTAGTATCTTCGCTTTTCGAACGGGCCCTTTTTCCATCATATAAATCATCGTCATTGTTATCATCATCATCTACGAATTAAAAATCATTCGTATTGTCATGTTTCATTCCCTTTCCTTGTACAATCAAAACGAAATTTTCCCATAGCATTTGTTATTTGTTATTTTTGTTGAATTTTTTGTGTGCTGTTTGTTTGGATTTTGTTTTTTTTTTATTTTATGTCATCGGATAGAAAAAAAATTATAAATTCATACTGGACTGGACTGGACTAGGTTTTGTTGGAATCAGACCGGGTTTAGCAGCACGTGCACGTGCTTTTGGGAAAACATTTTAATCGGATTTGTATTCATGATATAATATTTAATTGTGAATTATTTGTCACTCGTGCACGTGGAAAAACTGATAGATGTTCAAAAAGTTTGTGTATTGTGTATTCAAACTGAATAAGTAAGTTTCGTGCTCGTTATTATCGATTATATTCGTAGGATTGTTAAATTGTTGGATTACCGAGATACAGAAGTGTTCGAGGAATTTAATTAGTATCCACAAAGTGAAAGGGATATGATCTTGTTGGTGGATCAGTTGAGAACGTTTGTCTGTTAAAAAGAACTTGAGAAATACAAAGAGAGAAAAAAGAAAACAAAACACTTGATATTTTTCAATTGATTTTATCAATAAGGTGGGACAAGTATAATAAGGAAAAAAAGAAGTGGAAGAAGAAGAAAGAAGAAAGGAAGAAATGATGTGTAAGCACGAGTGAGAAGAAAAAGTGTAACGGAGGAAAGGAAGGGGGGTGTGATTGGTGAACAAGAAGAGGGCGGTAACGCGCGCGCAAAAGAGACGCACCTTTATGAAAGTTCAACGATAGACCAACAACAATCCGTTTTACGAAAATCCGCTCTGACGACAAAAGTGAACTTCTCCCCTTCTTCCTCCTACTCCTCTTACTCGGTAACAAACTTTTTCTATAATACGAAAGCTGCTGCTTTATCATCGAGAAATTTTCCAACTATATTGGTGAAGAAATCTGTCTTTTAACGTGTGATGGACGAAGTGGAACCTGGCAGCGAATCGACAACGTTGGTACCTTAAGAAAGAAAGAGAGAGAGAAAGGGAGAGAGAGACCATCCATTAAAGGTAAATAGATCGCATGTTTCATACACTTGATTGCACGATTTCGGTTTATTCTAATATCACTATTATAACTTTGTTTTAATATTCAATAGAATCTTTTATTTAATAGATTAAATCTATTTTTATGTTATTTAGAATATAATAATTTAATTAATTATAATATAAAATAATTGTTTTTTGTTGATACAAAAACTATGACTTTTATCTTCCACGAGTGATACTTTCCATAAACTCGTTCAGATCATTTTATCTAACTCAATGTTCCATCGAACAAGATTGTTTTCTTACCAATTCATTTTGAAGATAATCTTATATAATATTACATAGATAATATAAGTATTCAATAATAATAATAATAATAATCTAATAATCACACATGACCAGACAAAATTTGGAACTCGTCTTTAGGTTTATAGGAGGAATAGAAATTTGAAGAAAATATCTTGGCATAGAAGTTTCGAACGAGCTTTTAACGGTGTGGGCGGAAACGTCGAGTGTCGAAAGCCTTCGCGTTAGCTCGGAGCCCTCTCGTGACGGTCTGGAACTTGCTAGTAGATTTGGGCGGGCAAGCGAACGTTCGTACAAGTTTTAAAAGTCGAGAGTTTTCCTACCACCCCCCCTAACCCCACCCCCCCCATAACCTTACTCTTCCGCTTTCGAAACTTTTCAAAAGAACTCGACGAATAAAATCGACAGTTTTGTCCCCTCTCTCTACCTTCTTTCTATCTCTGTTCCTCTTTTTCAGTATATTTGTGTGTGTGTGTGTGTGTGTGTACATAAATATAGGTATATAAATATTATTGGTATATATTTAGATGTGAGTGTCACTTCATCATTCCCCTTCAAATGGTTTAAGCAAATGGGGTTGAATAACTTCAACCCCGTTTTTTTTTACTTTTCACCCTTGTCTCGTATAAATCGTGCTTGATAGTCTAGGTCAAGAAACTTAAACTTTTTACTCGTATTTTGATTATTTTTTTTTTTTGAACACTTGACTGTTTAAAATTTTTTTTCGAGAGGAAAGAAAATATCTGTTGCTTATAAATATACATAA